GGCTCATTGAAATGAGAGTTAGGGTGATTACAGTGAACGAGCGTCACCGAAATGAGAGTTAATACAGTGATTACAGAGAACGAGGGTCATTAAAATGAGAGTTACTGCGGAATACTTTATTTTCGCTGGAATTAATTTTCACTGAAAGGGCTTTTTGGGCGTTTCGTATGGAATATATTTTCACTGATTTTTGATGAGTTTAATGTGAAATATAGGAAAAAAAGTATATTCGCTGGATTTTATTTTCACGGAATCATCCCCTCAGCGAAAATAGCGGAAATTAATTCCAAGCGAAAATAAAGTACATTACAGTATGGTGATTTCAGGGAGCTGAGGCCATTGAGATGGAAGTCACAGTTATTATCACAGAATTGTTGACGTTTCCATATCAATAAAACATAAACACTTGTAGCAATAAAACATTTACCGAATTGCACTCACTTTATATAATTCATATCTGTATGAATGGTAAATGCTTTCTGTATATTCATATTAACATTTTCAGATCGCATTCTTTGCACACTATCCTGCCATTTTTCAACCTCCGACCATTGACATAACTCAACGTAGCAATCCACCACCTGCAATTGAAAACAATACAGGAATACATTTATCAACAACAATAAAAGCAGATAAAAAAAATTATAAGTTGAAATGAAATGTTAGTGTTGAGATAATCAGTGTTCAACAACAGTAGGGAGATAAGTGCAACACTCACTTCTAAATTTCATTCATAATTTAAATAGAATTTCGCCCTTGCTCCTCAAAAAACAAAAAATTAGAGTTTCTTCTCTGACACTTCAATTAAAGAAGTGCAGAGTCGTCATGCAACACATCTTCAAGGAGTCTTTTACATATGCATTGTACATTCTCAAATAATGATTTCTACACTAGACATGTTATATGGTAACACTGTCGCATGCTCTTTTCTAGAACATGCATTGTATACATCAAATATGACAACTGTGTCTCTTTTACAACACATATTACTAACCTGATTGATGATGAACTCAGTTGCAAGAGGATCTGGATCTGGCGTTTTATGTAACAATGTTTTCTTAGGTGTAACAGAGTTTCCATTGGTAACCTCAGTGGATAGCTTCTTAACTTTGGGACTGTTCGGCGGCGTACTAGTGCCAAATTTTTTCATGCTGGACCTGTTCATTGATGAATTAACAGGGTAATTTGGAATGGATTCCAGACCTAAGTACTTCTGTAACCCTGATATGTATTCCCCAGCAGCTGCTTCGTACCTACATGAAAAATATAGTTTTGTAAAAAAAAAATCATTGCGAAAACATGGTGTAACTTTTGCAACCTTGTCCATAATATTAAACATGCTGTTAAGGTAGAATGCTGCTCGTACTATTTTGACAAGTGCACATATTTTAGCGCATATAGCAGTGACAATATTTTGACATGTGCACATATTTTAGCGCATATAGCAGTGACAATATTTTGACATGTGCACATATTTTAGCGCATATTTTGTGTCTAAATCTGTCTATAATTATTAGTATCAGTCAACAGTAAGTAGACTTATTAACTTCACTGTCAATCTGTTTTTTGAATAATATGCATAAAATGGCAATTTACCAGCAGTTCCCATAGACCACAATAAAAACCCATTTCATCATTAAAAACTCTTTTAGAATGAAAGTACATTGTTAGGCACTGTATATAATTGTTTTTCACTATTTTTGTACAGGTACGAATCTGCAAATTTTCTTCACATCTGAAGATAAAATAATGGTGTTGTTCATTTATATTTCTGTTTAATATGCACATATGTGCCCCCCTTGTTAAAAAAAACACTTATAGGCACATTGTCACAGAAGACATTTGATATTAGACATGCTGGTTAGAGAAAATGTGAACAAATGAAGACACAATGCAACAACCTATACAGGACATGGGTCACATAACAAATAAATTTTCCAATCACCACAAGAACAGACATTTAGAATATCACATACAGATGTAATTAACAAACCTTCCAGCTGCTTGATGAGCAACTGCTCCAATCCATGGTAGATTTCTACCCACAATATCTTTACACCACACCTGGATACCTTGTATGGCCTCTGGACTATGCAATTGACACATAGCTTGAACTACTATCAAAATTGCATGTTCAAATTCAGTACCCTAAAGCAAGAAAGTCAAAATATAAGTCAAAATATAAAACAAAATGTTGAACACACTCGCATCAATTTTCACAGAAATAAACTGAGACACTGCATTCCGACAATTACAATATATTTCTCATTGATTTGGAACGTGAAATATGAATGAATAGTTAGAAATATGTGGGAAGTCTTCCGTAACAATTTACAAACCATGAACATTTAGAGTCAAAATAATTGAATACAGCCATACTGCAATTATTACTCGCTATAAGTTTTCAAATTGTCTTGACAGAATTGACAAGATTCGCAACATAAGATGGCACACAGCAATCAACATATACTCACTGAAGTATTGTTGTTGTTTTTCATATCTTGTAATAGTTGAAACGCATGCCTAACTGCAACAGCAGGCTGACCACAGTGTATTGCTACTGTCATTGCTGATAGACGTATACGTGTCAACCATTCCTGGCATGTAGCACGGTTGGTGCGGAAAAATGTTTTTACAACCTGCAATAAAGAACCAATAAAACAATAATTTGGGGTAGCTATTAAAAAAAAAACACTAGTCTAATATACATGAAAGAAAGGTTTACAAGAAGTGTTTGACTGTCAGGTTATACTTACAGGATAAGTACACATAGGTATCATATGCAATGAAAAATCAAACATTTTTATGTTTTGTTGACTAATATTTATGCCACACATTTGACTTTAACTTGTTTACTTCAAATATTTACAGTAAGATGGTCATATACGCCAAAGTGTTAATACAGCAATATTGATTGACAGCTGAAAATTGTCTCTCTTTCCACTGAGCATACAGACCTTTGGTAAAGTTGGCAATGCCACGACACAACCCTCATAGGCATTGTACATGTGTTTCTCAAGATGTTCAAGGAACTGTAACAATAACACTGGTCTCAGCTGAGTTTTATAATAAGATACTGTCAATAACAAAAGCAGAACACAAGAAATCAGTTAATGAATGTATGATCCAGAAGTGAACTGTATTTTAGAAAAAACAGTTGAAATATTGAAGTCATGTGGATTAGTAGTTTATTTATTAATCATAAAATAACAATTAGTGCAAACTGATCAACGTATGCAAAGCTCATTGCCAGACAACATACCTGTGTTATCCTTGGTTGTCAAGACAACAGGTGGTGACTTAGGATCCTCCAACTTGGTTTCTGCTGCAAATGCTCTCAAAGTGCCTATAAGAAATATTAAATACCATGCATGTAATTAAAGCTATAGGCAATTTAGAAAACATAATACTGATGTAACAACAGTTGCAAACAACATTGTGTTCATAATGCAGCAGCATATTCAACAATTCATAGTGCATTCACAATTTGATCGAAGCACTGACATTAGAAATATATAATCATTATTACCGTAAAAGCTCAATCAATTCGGCCACTCAAATAGTTCGGCCACCTATTTTTTGCGTCATGGTTAATTTTAAAATGTATCCGTTTAGTTCGGCCATCTGTCCAGTCAGTCTATTGTTTGTATTCAATTAGTTCGCCCGGTGATGACACCGCCCGATTTTTACGTCACTCTCTCAACAAAGGTATATTTTCACACTTGACTCTCGTCTTTGGAATTTCACGCAAGTCATACAAAGTCGCAAATGTGTTACGTGAAAGCGTCATTATTATTGGACGTAGTTTTGTTTACACAGTCACGCAGCACGTCAAAATATCTTCTTTTTTTCGGTTGACCCAAATAAAATTATCTGCTGGATTGTTTCAGCACAGTCGTTTCAGTAATGTTCGAAACATTGTCCTGCAGAGTTGTTTGTTTAAAAGTCAAGTAGATTATTAATGTTAACGGGGTAAAAAATTAATTAATGCCGACTTGCAAATTGTATCGTCTTCGGCATTTCCAGTAAGTCGATACAAAGTCGCCAATGTGTAGCGTGAAAGCGTCATTT